GTCCCACGGGTCCGGACCAAACGGGACTAGTCCGAAATCATCGAGGAAGGGATTCGTTGACGGGTCCGGGGTGACGGGTTCTCCGAGGCACCCGGGGTTCGCGCAGAGAAAATCGAACACTGAACGAAAAATAATTTCACGCGAAATAATCTAATCGGTCTTCTTCAACAAGAGGACTCACACAATCAAGTGTAGAATACAGTGAGACTCCCACATGCGGACAAGGCAACATAGGGACACTAATTTTTCAATGAAAAAATCATGATAAAGGCCCAACATTTGGACACTGACTCAACATGAGTACATTACATGATAAAATTGCCAAAACATTTTAGGAAAATTGATTTTTATTAGGCTTGATTGTAAGAAGCAGATATTTCCAACCCTAAGAACTAGGCAAGAAAAATGCTTTGATACTTTTGCCATCAATTTCCAATCCATTCAGCTAATTAAAAGAATTACTGATAGCACAGATGGACTTCCTTCTCTCTTTGTGACTTGGATTTTATTTTTACAGATGCCAACATTTCAATGAATTGTAAAGTGGTATATTATTCAATACTCCAAATGTTCTTATTGTGTTGAAAAGATATTCACTGAATTAAAATCAAGAGGCAAAAACATTTTTTTATGGAATTCTGAAGAATATTTCTTCCATAAAACACCAATTAAAAATTAAATAATGTAAGTCTATGGGAAAACAAGACTTGACCCAGGGACAATTCAACTTAGGGACACTCTTGATGCACCAATTATGTCCTCATCTGGGGGTCTCACTGTAATCTAATGTTGAAAAGGAATTACAGAGGGTGATAAATACCTCGGATAATGGACTTAGGCTTACCACTGAATTAATCCTCAGAGGGGCATAGAGTAAAACCTCTTTAATTCGAAATTGAGGGGACTTTCAAAGAATTTCATAGTTAGGGAAACAAGCATTTTGGGGGGAAATGAAGAATTGCAAGAAAAATTTAATTTCTGCTGTTCGGGCCTTAAATTTCTTCTCAAATCAGTTGACAGGATGCTGAACTTGGAGTCAAGGGTTTATCTGTCCAATTATTTTTTTCACTTTCTTTCAAAGCACATGAAGTTGAGTTTTTATTGCTTTTATTTTTCTTGTGTCAAGAAAATAGCGAAAAGACCTCCAGAAAATTCGAGCGGTGGAGTTTTTTGGGGGGGACGCCTTCAAGTTGGGAGAGGTTTTTAATTTACTGTTTTCAAGGAAATTCAGACACATACTTGAAGAAAAATGATTCTACATACGAAGGTATTCGACTTGAGAAGGTTCGAATTACCGAGGCTCAACTGTAATACTCCCTGAATTACAATTTATTGACTCGCCGCATCGTTTTCAATTCTGAATAGATTCACAATTCGTGAGAATGAAATTTCTTCGGTTCAGAATTCTCGTTATTTCATCGCGAAGATCCGTTCATACGAAGATTTATTCCAAAATTGCATTTCCAGGGAATCCGGAACAAAATTCCTCATGGCTACTAATTCGATGGATTCTTTGGTGGCCTGGAACCAATCACTCATTTTAACATAAACCAGTGAATTAATCACCCACTGAAACAAATTACGCCCATTAACCATGGAAAAGTACAGTACTACGAAGATCCAACATACGCACAAAATCCAATCCGTGGTGTTCCTTGTTTAAACTTTTCAATTCTTCAAATTCAAATTCTCTCTTCTTTTCGAGGGCTCTAAAATTAATTAATCCTTTAAAAAGATTGCAGTACAACTTAGCAGGGTTTTAAAATCCCTTTTTTCCGAAAAATATTAACCCTCCTCGCGAAAAATGCATTTCCTCTTCAAATTTTAATCCTAAATATTTAGTCCAACCCAACGGTTTGAACATTCGGCACATAAGAAAAACCATAGGCTGTCTGAAGAGTTGTTGTGCAATGAAAATATGCTTAAATTAAATTTTTTTTACATACGGACTTACAGTATTCCTTCAAAAAAATGATCGAAATCTCAAACTTATGAAGCACGAGAAATTTCAGAGCACCACAGATAAGTGCGCCGTTACTTAATGTATCAAGGAAAAAGCATATTCGTCCGAACACATCAACACTTTCGATTCCCTGAAAATTAATTTGAACATAAAATACTGTACTTCACGCAATCTACATGATCTTCAGACCGAGCAACGACCGAGACCAGAAAGCTCACCAGCAGTTTGGAAGACCGGGTTGTTGTCGAAGTCAGCGAAGTTCGGCTGACTTATCGCAGAATGTGTAGGAGTGTTCGGAAGTGATCCGAAAGGATCGAATTTCGGCTTCACGCCTCCGGAATCCGCATTCGATTTTGGGGTGGTCTTCCACGCGTCAAAAGCACTCGCACTCTGTAAATCAAAATCTAACACTCCAGAAAATACGACAACGAAACGCCCATAACACTCACAGGGGTAGAATTTGTTCCACGTACGTTCAGTGGACTGACTTGGGGAACTAAAGAAGCCAGTGGCTTGGCTCCAGATTTTGGTGAGGTTTTCTCCAAACGTTCCACAATCGACGGATCAACGTAATACTTTTTCTTCTCGTATTTCGCGATCATAAAATCACGAACTTTGTGTTCGTCTTTAAAATCTGGATAACCTAGCTTTTCGTCGTAACTCCCGAGCCACACTCCCCGGCAAAAGTGGTTACCGTGTTTTGAGAGATTATCCAATTCCTCGGGTGTAAAAGACGCCATGGATATTGACTTGACTCGGTGTGGAGGAGTCAGACCTCGTCTGCAAACCAGTCACAATAAAACTAGGGGCAATCGAAAAGAAAATTTTATTTCACTTACAGGAGCCCTGAACAGTGGGTACAGACGAATGAGCCAATTGTCGTATTCACGTAAGTCGGACCTTTTTGTCCGCAGTCGAAACACGTTTTATTCTCGAGTCGCGCACCGATTTCGCGAAGTTTTGTAAGATTTGTATCTTCTTGGCGCACTGCTCTTTTACTCGACGCCATCGTGACGAGCAACACAGAAGGAAAACCTGCGAACGATACATAAAAAATTACACTTAACCTGCTACCACGCAGGATTCTCCATCATTTGCAGCAATTCGTATTCGTAAACTTAATAATTCTAAAAATAATATCAATGGCAAAGAATAACTTCGTGAACTATTCTCTTCCGCTCTTACAATTCACAGTTTAAGAGTTTTGATCACAAGAGTAATTCGCGCGTTCGAACAACATAGCACCCAGCACTGAGTTCCGGTGATGAAAACCTTTCGAAATTCAAAAAAGAACGAAATTCGCCGAAAGTCTCGAAAATGGAATTCTGAGGAAATAACTAAGAATCTCTTCCATATCACTAAATAAGAACGCACTGAACGAAACGCCCGAGTTTCCGATGAAGACCGCTCATCAAACAGATGGCAATCAACTTGCTGCAATTCTGAAGAACAAGGGCAGTGCTGAAAACTGTCCGAAGACAGAATCAGTCCCACGGGATGAGTACTGCAGGAAGATGTCGCAGTGGGTACACATGCAAATTCTAACAGCTTCTCCGGGAAAGAGACTGTATGACCGGATAGGTGAAGATGTTACAAGATGTACTACGGTACTACACCGCCAGACAACCAACAGCTGATGTACCAACCAATTATAACGGGATTGCATTCTGGGCTAATTATTACTGTACAGTAATGTGCTGTACTTTCTAGGATCTAAATAAGCATTTCAAGATGAGAGTATAATGGAAAAGCTGTACTTCAAGCGTAATTTTCCCTACCATTGGATGAATGAGTCAAATTCCAAACCTAAGTCATCCAAAAAATATTATTCAGTTATGCTGTGAAATACTGTACTATTTTATGGGATAGCAATGTTCCTTGACCTATAGATAAGGTATAATGTAAAGTATTGCTGCATGCTACTGAGTAATGCAGCCTAAAGAAATTCCAAGGATTTCTCTACAGTGTTGGGAGTCGATTTGTGTGCAATGGACGCAGATAAACTTTGCATGATAATCATCCAGCACCAATTGTAGAATAATATCTTACAACTTTTCATTGACACCTTGCATCAAGAAAATTCTGCATAATGTTCTGCTATTCCTCCATTTTTTGGGATCCTCTTCAAACTTCTGAATCAATCATCCTCCAGCAGGAGTTTGTACAGTATAAAGATTTCCTTTCTTCAGCAAATTATCCTCTGAAGATTTTCATTCCGTACTCAGACAGAAGGGTGCAACACTGTCCTAGAACAATAGTCAAGAAAATATAGTGAATACAAATGGTGGGCAAGAAAATCACAGTTTATGCAGCTGCAGTCTTTCTACAGAACTCAAGTTCCACCACTGACGTGTTCATATTGACAGTCAAATTGAAGTTATATAAATCTGTTCTGACTTCTGAATGTCAATTCAGATTATGGTTTCAAGTACTGTATACATTGTAAAACCACCATGAGTTTATCAAATTGCACACAGATGCAAATGGACAAAGATGCCATCGGAGTTTGTTTAATCCTATTTGGGAAATAATTCGCATTACACGCAATGTTTGCAAAAGTTAGCATTCAGTTCATTGAAGCAAAAATACAGAAATTGTATGACCAACTGGAAGAGAGAAAAAAAAAAAGATTCCATTCATAGAATACCTCCTCTGTCACATTTTTAATCAGGTTTTGTGGAAAATATGCTTCCAAACCTATGTATTTTTCTCCAACAGACAGATTGGTCATCAACTCCAATACATTTCAAGCAAAAAAAACGCTTCTTTCTCCATGAAGTGTTTGTGCATGAGAATCCAACAGGAAGTCATGGTTACACCACCAGAAACTTCATTCCTCTTTGCAAGCTTTTCAATTGGCTGAGAAATGAACGAATTTCATAAAAACGTCCCAGACGTGCTTGGGTTAATACAGCAACGTGAATGGTTAATTGGAGTCAGACAACTTACTCAGCTTTAGGCATTCCTAAAACCAAACTCAATGTTGACCTAAAATTCCATATAATCCGCAATTAATCATCACACCTTTTTCTCAAGCATAAGTTTCGTTTCCCATCGCGTCTCAGTTGATAATCAGGAAAGTTAATTGTTCTAAATTTCTCGAAACATTACCACAGCGCAGGACAATACCTTAAAATGTAAGCTCATTAAAAAAAGTAACAAAGCCACAGATAATTCACGAAGTTTATCATTTCAACCATAAAAAGGAAAATTCATAGCAATCACATTTAAAGTGCTGCATCATTTCCGGGTTCGCTTCAACCGCTTCGCATACTTCTCCGCTTTCGTCTTCTTCCGCTTGATCCGCGTGTGTATCTCCTCCATTTTCCGCTTTCGGTATCTTAAGGAACGAAAAATCACGCATAAACTCAAAAACCACGAGAAATTCTACACACGAAAAATTAATAAGAAAGCACACTAACCGATTGAAATCCGGGTCAGCCAACAGCTCTTCCACTATTGTCCTCTTCCTTTGCTTCTTGGGAACACGCGACGAGTAAAAGTCCAGCGGATTATCCAGTACTTTGCCGAACTGTTCACAAACGGCCAAGCATAATGCATTTAATAAGGAATACACGCACGCCAAGTCCGCAGTACTGAATTACGTACCTGGAAGTACTTGGGCAACGTGTTCTTCAAGTCGGGTTTCTTGTAGAAACGCTTCGGATCCAACAAATGCACATTCCGCAGTACCTCGAGATCTCTTTTGCGTTCTTCCGTCATCTCTGATGCAGGCATATCGTACCATAAACTTCCTTTGGTTTTTTCTCTCTCAATCTTGATATATTAAAAGAAAGAATGAAAAACACATTAGGTAAAATAAACAACTTCTTCTCCTTGCTTTCTGGAATTCTACTCGGGTATCACCTGAGGCAGTATTCCAATCAAAATTACAGCATCTACCAAAACCTGCCTTTGAATTCACCTTAAGGAAAACTACCAGCGACATCTACAGAAAGAAAGATAAAATCCCTGATTTGGGACAAGTGTCATACCTCAAGTATGTGCACTACTCCACAGAAACAATGTAAAATTGACTCCACAATCTTGTGAACTGCTGTATTTACTTGAGTACCATGATCCCTTGAGTAAGACATGCACCCCAATTTTTTTTATTCTAAAAATGTTGATCAAATCCTACCCCCCCAAGTAAGTTGCGCACAACATTTTGTGATTGAAAAACCGCAATATTTCAAAAATAAGCGACACCAGAATTCAAAATTGGACAGGCATTCAACTTGAATTTAATTGCTTATATTTAAAAAAATGTCATCAAAAATTTCGTATTAAATTCAATTGTGATGCGCATTTAAAATTTAAGCATTTTCTGAAAATTTTATCCCCAACCATGATATGGTAATTATAAAAATATGATCTCCTACGAAGCCTAGAATATGCATGTTCAAAGACTTAAGCTCCCCAAAAACAGAAAATATGCGCCATGTCCTCGTAATAATGTCCACCTGAGCTTCCGATTACGTCATATAGGTGTCGCTTGAATCCCTCGCATGAGAAAATTAATTGTACCACCTCACTGATCATGTCTACAAGATTCGAGCGACAACTATCCACGATCAAGCCGCAGGACATCATTCGGTCAAGTGAAAAGAAGATCAAGACTCAAATCATCATGAATACCTTCCGTTTTTTCCGCAAAGCCGCATCAGGTAATTCCGCAGCAGCAATCGGTTCCATAGACTGTACGGACATTTCAGGAGTGACGACCGAGCACTTGTTGACCAGTTTCTCGGCAGATTGTCTGCGTAAGACTTCCGATCTCCCAAGGTACGAAATTCCAAGGGTTTGCAGGCAGGATGAGAATGTACTTTCCTTCACCCTACGAAACCACGGCAGAAAACTATGATCATTCTATCCTGCATTCGAAGAAGTTAATCCAATCTACATACATTGAAATCTCGAAATAGTGCCATTATTTGTCCTAGCACTAAATTCAGGGTTTTGCACCAGAGAAAAGTTCGATCGAGGGTCTTTATCGTAGGTCAAATAAGCTTGTTTACACAATTATTAGGCCACTGAGTCTGTTTCAGGAGTAGAAAGGAGTAGAGTAGTCAGGAGAAAACCCACACAAAATAATTGTAAGCTCCGACGCTTTGAATTTTAAACTGTACGAGACATAATACAGTATATTCGATTTTTTCATGTATTGCATTGTTCTAGAAATACTGTAGATCAGAGCTGATTCTCAACGTTTTGTGAGTTCTATTTCAGGTGCATTCTTGCAAGAATTACCAATATTTCCAGAAAAACTCCCACTTCATCAATTAAATATCCAAGAAAGGAAGGTGGCCTGCAGCAAACTTTTCTTCTTTTTAATAAATGTAAATTCAGAAATAGCATGTTCCGCAATTATCCCGAGTTTTTGTTAACATGGGCATGCGATCCTCAGTAAAAACACAATGGCATCCTCAGAAATAGGATTTCATTTGTTTGATTTTGGCCAATTCATCATCCAGGACAGAGGAATTTCTTGTGACACTAAGAGATTTGGCACTAAATTGGTTTCATTTCAGAAAACAATGAGGGAGTTTTTGTTCTAGGGAAATTTGTGGAAACAAGTCAAGAGTTCACAGTATTAAATTACTAGATAATCACACTGAGACCCCCACATGTGGACACCTCAACCTGCAGACAATTTGATATAGGGACACTCATTTTCCCAAAAAAAATTAATAAAAAAGGCCTGGCATGAGGACACTGACTCAAAATAGGGATATTTTGTGATAAAATTGCTAATAGATTTCAGGCCAAATTACAAGAAACAGATATTTCCAACCCTAAAATTAATGCTAGAAAAGTTCTTTGGCATTTCTCTCACCAATTTACCATCCATTTAGCTAATTGAACAAAATTACCTCTAGCAGAGAGGGACTTCCTTCTCTCTTTTTCACTTGAATGTTATTTTTAAAGAGAATGCCAACATTTCTATACACTGTACAAAGGTATCAGTATTCAATTCTCAAAATGTCCATATTGTGTTGAATTATATTGATTGACTCAGTTTAAATTGGGAGACAATTTTTATTTTCATGAAATTATGTTGAGTATTTTTTACATAAAATACCAATTAAAAATTACATAATGTAAGCCTAAGGGGAAATGAGACTCGACTTAGGGACACTCTTGATGCACCAATTACGTCCGCATCTCGGAGTCTCACTGTATTTTTTCATCTGGCGTTTAATTTAAAAGACAAACCATCAGAAATGAGGCTTTTTCGGGGGATTAAACTTGTTTGGACCGGTGCAAGAAAATTGAGCAAAAACTTCCGGAAAGATTACATTCGAAGGGATAGAAGCATAGAACTAATTGTTTTGGATAATTAGCCAGGACTCCCGTCCATATTTCAAGTAATCGGTTTCAGGCAATATTTCGGCAGTATTTAGGAAACAGATTTTTGGCAATACAGGTGGTCTCTCTCTACAACGAAATCTAAAGGACAAGAAAAAAATTCGCTGTGGAAAGAATTCTGTTGCAGAGAATCCCTAAAACATTGGAAGAAAACCTCATGGGACCAAAAAAAATTTGGTAAGACAGAGAAAATCGTCGTTGAAAACATGTTCATAGAGAGAGTCCACCTGTTTCCAAAAAGGAAGTACAGCAAAGTAATCTGAACTGTAATGAATTCTGAATTAACGTAAGCGACAGGGGATAATATTCTGAAACAGCTTCCATGTTGAGCAGGGAATTAAGTACGCATACAACCCCGATCCAACCAAAGAAATTAAGTCACTAAAAATGAACCAACTCGACGAAAAAGAAGCAAATGAAGATAATTCACCCTTTTTTCAGCGACGCAAAAGTCTTGACTTTTACGGCATTCGAAATTTCCACGTCATCAACTCTCGGACAGTCGTCGATGACGAAATCTGCGTCAGTTTCTCCACAGCCATCGTCTCCTACATTAATTTTCATTTCACCCATGTCGTTATCATGCAATAAATCATTCGCTGAACGAACCAATTTTACCTGCGAAGGACTTTCCTTCAACGACTGGCAAACTGGCGATCAACTCTTCCTCATCTTCCGAATCCAACGAAATCGGATACCGCGGCACTTCCGACTTCAACTTCCTATTCAACGCAGTTCTCAACATCGCATAAATAACACCTGGAGCAAAAAGACAACGAAAAGAGTTGCATCACATCTGCAGCGATCGCGTAATTTTAAACTGAGCGAACTCAAAAAGGAATTCAGTAGCCCAAAACGTTCAAAAATATACAGAAGAACAAGCTCCGCACTTTTTAATACCAAGCTTTTGAGCAAATCCAACCAAACAAAATCTATAACAAAAGCACTCTGTAAAAAAAAAAAAAAAAAACTGCGATCATGGCTTGAACTTGACGAGTGGGATATTTTTCGTCTGTAGGCACTTGTCGCAGACCCATTCTGCGTAAACTTCGGCGGTGAGAAGATGGAAGGCAGGTTCAGTCAGCCCCGTGCAGATGCGATGAAACCAGAAATTGCACCCAGATTCGCAAAGAATAGCTTGATCATTGTCGTGGACTTCCTTGTGACAAATGCCGCATGGGTAAATTGGCGGGGCGTTGGGGTTTTGAGGATTGAATACCATCGGTTGATCTGGAGGATAAATCTGAAGGAAGGACAACAAAAACAAATACGCATGAAACCAAATTCATGAATCGGATTTCTCGCTCCTACAGCTGCCCGACCTAAAATCGCAACCAACTGCCATTAAGTCAAAATTTCCCATTACTTTTCATTCCAAAAAACTCAAATCCCTCGACCACAGCTTCAATCGAAGAAATAAAGAGGCAATCATAAGAAGCAAGAATCCACGCACGAAGAGACAAAAAAAAAATTAAGGATGGATCACGAACAATTGCAGAACCTCTCAACCAATTACAGCTTGGAAAAAGGGAACTTCAAACTTCAATTTACCTTTTGAACACGGAAAAAATTCACTCATTAAAACCATAACCACATGCCTTCAGATTGATATTCTCGCACTTAGAGGAATTCCCAGTTCAGATCCTGCTTCGAACTAATCTTTACTGGCGAAGAAGGTGTTCAATGTATCTCCCATCCGTTTCAACATCAGCTTGCAGTTGTCTTCTTCACAACAAAATGCCACCGGGGACAAAACAGGATTGAGACGACTCATCCAATGCAGTCATACGTTGTGAAGAAAAGGGCTGCAAGCTGATGTTGCTTGCTAAATACCTTACCCTTTCTCCGTGTTGAAATGGCACAGGAGATGGGGGGTTGAGACATCTCTTCCCAAGCAGCACTGAGTTGTGTAGATAAAGGCTGCAAGCTGTTTCTGAAAGGTAGGGGTGGTATGCTGGACACTTTGTCCAATATCACAGATTAGGTTAAAACAAGATCTGAACTTCTGACAGCGAAAATAACATGCATACCCTAAGGGCACTCATAATCTTATACAAAATTTCCGGACTCGAACTTAGCACACAAAATGAAGATTCACCATGGAGGGATCTACTGCACTAACCTTTCCTGAGGTCACAGGCATAGGTTTTGGGCCCATGCCCATAGGCGGAGGTCCGATGTGATTCGGCATGCCCATTCCCGGGCCCATAGGCCCCGGTCCACCGTAATTCGGTCGGTGTAAATCTGGAGGACAACTCATGCAATTCGGAGGGCATTGTGATGGACCCATCATGCCCGGGTGCGGGCCCATCATTCCTCCCATGGGACCCATCGGTCCTCCCATGCCACCCATGGGCCCAGGCATGCGACCTCCCATCATCTGTGGCGGTGGAGGACCAGGGTATTGTTGAGGGGGTTGCTGTTGCATAGGATGCGACGGCGTATCGTCAAACGGATTGGAAGCGATGATCGTGTCACCATAACCTAAGCCACATGAGAGAATACAAAGAATTACAACTTGATAACAGCATTAATGGATGTCTCGGATCAACAAGGAAGTGGTTCAAACCTGGCATCGGGGGTGGGGCGAGATCAGGAACACTGGGGGAACTTCGGGGAGGCGCGGTTGAAGCATTTCCACGTCGTTTCTTTTTAGTAGGTACAGGAGAATCCGGTGTTTGAGATCGTGATCCCGAATGAACCGGCGATTTGAAATCACCCGTCATTATTAAAGGAACACCTTCAGAAACCAAGAGATGAATATAATCAGGAAGTTAATGACAATAGTTTCATTTAAAACATACACGTATTATATTCTCATGCCGAAATAAAATTCCCGGGAAAATCACAAGAACTGCTATTCTGCCGATACGTGCCACTCTGGAGATGAGGTAAACAGTACTTTTCAACCCGAGCAGCGCAAATGCACTTATCACTATTCAGTCTACAGCGGTGACACTGAATTTTTACCGCGTGTGTAACACGTTTCGCATGAATGTCACGAATAAATTAGCGGACAGCATTTCAACAATCAAAATTCTATTGCCCGTAAATCCTGGCTTGGTCGGCAGGACACGGCATTGTAGTGTACTAACATGCCGAACAATGTTGGGCGAGTGTAATACTTCGCATACTGTCATACACTACTGTGGTATGGTTTGCGGGACAAGAGGCTATTTCCGGGGCCTCACCGAACTACTGCAGCCTTCACTGTACTCATATAGCTAAGACCTGGTAAGAATAGTGAAATTCTACCTTTGCACCCAATTCATTTAAAATATGGTTCAAGTCCAGAGGCAACGCTGGGTTGATTTGACTCACAATGAGATACAATTGACTCCAGTCAGTGAATCTCACAGATTGACCAAGATGCATTTTATTTCTTAATACTCCATGTACCTTACTTACTTACTTAGGCCAGTTACCATTGGTACTTGCACACATGAACTCTTGATATAGTGCCACTTTACTCCCCTTCACTGTTTGACACATTTGCTGCAGATTTAAGAACAAGATATGCAGCAAAACAACAATATACAATATAGGACATATGGGTAGTTTATTCAAATACAGTTGAGCCTTGATAAGTCAAACCTCCCTAAGTTGAATTTTCTCAAGTCTCTGTCTGAATTCCAGTAATAACAATGTATTAGTAATCTCCCTAACTCAGTCTTCTTCTCTCAAACCTTAAGTCAAATTTTCTACAAGCTTATGGCCATTATGTTCTTGATACATGAAAGAGAAAAGCAAGAAAACAAGTAATGTAATGTGTTTTGAAAGGAAGTGACAGACTAACTGGGCAAATGAACCCCTGCCTTCAAGTTCAGCAAGCTATAAACTCATTGAAGAAGTATTTTCTAAGGCCCAGAATATCATCATTTACATTTTCCTGCAAAAAATGCTTGTTTCCCTAACTAGAAACCTCCCTAAATAAGTCAAATTTTTTTCCTGGTCCCTTGAAATTCAACTTGGAGAGGTTCAAATTCAATTTTAATTTCAATCTGCTTTCAACATTCCCATTCTCACCTGTCACAGTTGTTTTGCCCTGTCCACGGGATATAGAGTACATATTAATCACGAATTGGCAAACAAATATTGAAGATTTAACTTGCCTGTGATGTGTCATCACAAGTTCACCAAAAAGAAATGCCTCTTGTAAGAAAATTGGAATTGCAGAAAAATATAAAAGATGTTTTTCCCAGAATTTCTTTAGCTTTCATTGAAATTTTAGCAATGGTTGATTCTTTTGTTCAACAAAAGTGTTATAAAGAATACATTCTTGGAAAGAAGTACTCCTTACACATGTCGTGCATTCAGTTCAGCTTTTTCTCATGAAGATTAGCACACTGGAGGTGGACTCACTCTCTACAACAATTTTCTCTGCATGATTTTTTGTTGCGTTTTGGTCAGTCAGGGTCTTCAATCGAATTTTATAAAAGTTTTCCTTGACCAGTTTTTTCTTTTTCATCCTGTAAATTTTGTTCCAGATAGAGGCCACAAAGTCCATCTGTACTCAAAAATTTGATACAATGCAGGCTCAATCCAGGTGGATTCTCTCTGCAACAAAATTCAAGTGCCCACAAAAAATTTGTGTTAAAATAACTTCATGGTAAGGAATCCATATAAAATGGCAAGAGAACCCATGGTAGAGAAATTCCCCCAGTATAAGCAAAATAGACTTCATATTAACTTATAACTATTCAGTGTGTCTTCCAATTTAATTGGAGGATATCTAAAAAAGGAAAAGTTTTAAATTATCTGTTCCACAATTCCCTATTTCATTCAAAATACCAGTCCTACATGTGTCCAGAACCATGAGTCTTAATGTAACAAAACGAAATTCCCCAGGTCTCTGGGAGTTCGTTGCAACAGTATTTTCCTGCATTACATATTATGCTTAAGAAAGCCATTCCTAAATAATTTGGAATATTTGTGGATTGGTCGGAAAATTGGTTCATCCTGTAAATCTGTGCAAAAATGGTGAAATCAATTGACGCTTCTTTTTTTTCACTCGTCAAGGCCGTAGGGCTTCATGTCCACACCGCAAGTCCGTGAAACATATACTGTATGAACAAATGATTTTGAATCGATCTCAAGGATAACAATAGTCGAGCAGAAAAGAAAAGCTGCACACCCCTCCCCCCCTAGAATGTCGCCGTCTCTACAAACCGCCAAACCCCTCGGACAAAAGCTACAAGGCTCCTCGCACTCCGTCATTCTCACAGCCGCTTTCATACATGAGCTGGAGTGCGGAAAAAAAAAACAATTTTCAACGAAAAAACAAGCCTATCCAGAACAACAGTCAACCAATGTAACTTCTTTCTTTTCTAGCTCAATTTTTTTTTTTTGCATAGCCAAGAAATTGAGAACGATGATGAAACGAGGAGCAACAGTGAATGTGAAGAAGACTCGCGGTGATGTTAAAAGTCGCCAATTCGCTCTTGTATTTTTTTTTTCGCCGGCAAATCCGTTTGCTCATGATAAAATGAACAACTTCATCGCCAGATCTTTGATTTCTTCCCATGAAACCGCCTCGGCCGTCGAGGGACACCTCAAGATGAAAGCACCGCACTGATCGTTTGCTTCTGCTCATGTGTCATCAAGTCCAAGCTGGCCTTCAAAATGGACTCGTCTCCCTAGAAAGAAAAGAATTAGATTACAATGGTTGAAAAATTACTCAAGCCAAAAGCTTGTTTTTCTTTCACAAAGCCGCCCACCTGTGGAGCTTCTGGATTCATGCCAACGCGAATCCAAGGCAAAAATGGTAAGTTATTGCGATTTTGGGAAAGTAAGGTTAGCAATAATTTTTTCATTTATTTTAGGTTATGTTAGTTCAAACAACATTCACACTACAAAACCTCAAATTGGCCAAGGAAAGCTTTAAAAAAATTGGATTAAAGACCCTGACCAACCAAAACAAAACCACAAAAAATAGTAATGCAGAGAAAATCATTGTAGAGAGAGAAAGTCCACCTCCAGTTTGCTAATCTTCATGAGAAAAAAGCTGAACTGTATGCCAAACATGTTTAAGGAGTACTTCTTTCCAAGAATTTATTCTTTATAACATATACTTGTATTACAGAAGAATTGACCATTGCTAAAATTTCAAACAAAGCTAGAGAAATTCTGGGAAAAACATCTTATATTCTTTTTTCTGCAATTCCAATTTTTTTTACAATAGGCATTGCTTTTTGGTGAACTTGTGATGACAGGCAAGTTAAATCTTACATATTTTTCTGCCAATTAGTGATTAATATGTATATCCCATGGACAGGGTAAAACAACTGTGAACAAGTGAGGATGGGGATGTTGAAAGTACGTAGATTGAAATGAAAACTAAATTTGAACCTCTCCAAGTTGAATTTCAAGGGATCAGGAAAAAATTTGACATATTTGGGGAGGTTTCTAGTTGGGGAAACAAGCATTTTTTGCAGGAAAATGTAAGTGGTGATATTCTGGGCATTGGAAAATACATCTTAAATGAGTTTACAGCTTGCTGAACTTGAAGGCAGGGGTTCATTTGCCCAATTATTCTGTCACTTCCTTTCAAAATGCATTACATTACTTGTTTTTTTTGCCTATCTTTAATGTATCAAGAATATAATAGCCAAAAGGTTGTAGAAAATTTGACTTAAGGTTTGAGAGAAGAAGACTGAGTTAGGGAGATTACTAATACATTGTTATCAAGGGAATTCAGAGACTTGAGAAAATTCAAATTATGGAGGTATTTGACTTAGGGAGGTTTGACTTATCAAAGTTCAAATTTATTTCAAGAAACTATATACATATGCTACGGTATTTGCATGTTTTGTCGCAAATCTTGGTCTTCCATCTGCAGCAAAGGTGTCAAACAGTGATGGGGAGTAAATTGGCACTATATCAAAAGTTCACATGTGCAAGTATGAATGGTAACTGGCCTAAGTAAGTACAGTACTGTACATTTACAGAATAGTCTTAGGCAATAAAAATGCATCTTGGTCAATTTGTGATTTTTTTTTACTTTCCTCTTTCCTAAGTCAAGAAAATAATAGCCAAAAGGCACCCAGAAAATTCGATTCACGGAGGTTTGTGAGGAATGGCCTTCGAGTCAGAGAGGTTTATAATGCATACTTACCCAGGGAATTCAGATGCGGACTTTAAAAAATTCGACTCAGGGAGTTTCGCGTCATCGAGGTACAAATTTTCTAATTTATAAAAATCAAATGATTTTTTTTTTAAATCGTCTTCCTCTTCACAATACTTCACTGTACTGAACTGCACACACACCTGGGCTTGGCGGACGATGTGCACTAGTCGATGAAACACCTCGTTGGTCGGTTCAATGGCTTCCCGTCGCAACGCCTCGCTGATCACACACACGACACGTGGCACATCCGCCATCACTGCGGGATGGTTCGCCTCCACCAGGTCCGCCAGATAGCCGTACACATGCGGCGCCTCTTCCACGTCCTCCCAGACGGGCAGCCAGCCTAGGAACACCGGCACCACCTGGGCGTGAATGTCCGCCTCAGTCGTCGCGTACTTGAGGATCTTGGCAACGGCCGAGATGCAGTTCTCCGTCGGCGAGAGTTTCTCTTCCGACCGCGAGTCGGGCTGGTTGACGACGCCGGCGAGACGCGGCAGGGCGTTGGCGAGATACTGGTTGAAACGACCGTTCCCGAACTGGAGGAGAAGAAAAAACATTTCCGAAATCCAAGTTATGGCAGACGGAACATGTGAATCGAGGGCCAAAGGTTTTCCCCATTTCACACGTTTATGATGGGAAACGGTGAGTACAGTGAGACCCCCCACATGAGAACACCTCAAAATGGGGACATTCATTTTTCAATGAAAAAAAAGGTCTGACATACAGACACTGACTCAACATGAGGACATTGCATGATAAAATTGCCAATAAATTTCCAAAAAATTGACTTTCATTAGGCTTGATTGCAAGAAACAGATATTTCCAGCCCCAAGATTCATGCAAGAAAAATTCTTAGTCATTTTTCCTGTCATTTTCCCATTGATTCACCTAATTAAAAAAATTTTACCAATTGCATTAAGGGACTTCCTTCTCACTTCGTGACTTGAATGTTATTTCTGCAGAAGCCAACATTTCAATGTACTGTACAGAGGTACACTATTCAATGCTCCATACGTTCTTATTGAGTTGAAAATATATTCATTGAATCAAATTCAAGTGGCAAACAATTTTTTTAATGAAATTCTGAAGAATACTTCTTCCATAAAACACCAATTAAAAATTATATAATGTAAGTCTATGGGAAAACAAGAATAGACTCTTATTGATGCACCAATTATGTCCACATCTGGGGGGCCTCACTTTACACAAAGAATACAATCCATTGATTTCCACTGTAAAACCTGTTTTCTAACTACTAAACGTAGATGTCGCTTCAATACATCAGCACAGTGCTGGCCAAATCAGATTAGGCCAAGGGCCATAATAATACAGGACCGTACATTCATTTGTGGTTGAGGGCCACATTGCTGAGTTGGAGAGTCCTTGCGGGCCACAATAAACAATTTCGAAGGTTCAAAATTTTCTCCTTTCAAAGAAAAGTTTCAAACGTATTTCTTTGCTACGCATTAAATCGAGCATAGTCACGTAAAATTTTTGGATAGTGGAGCAACACTTCGAAGTTTCAATTGCATCTTTCAATTTAAAGTAGAAACTCGTCACAACGACACTCGTAGTGACAAATTTAGGCTTACTGTGAATTTGTCTTTTCGGCCCCAGTCCATTAGCTATGATGTTATTTTAATTCCGTTTTAACGAAAATTGATTATAATGAAGCTTTTTCAAGGCCCCAAACGCTTTATTGTAACGGCATTCTACTACATAAAATTTTCTTAAATGTTGGTGACTTACACTGTACCATGAAAATTACGCAAAAGAGACGGTGGGGTGAATGAAAGTCTCTCTACAGGACTGATGTGGCCCATATCTTGGGGAGCACTGCATTAATATATCATAAGTCATAACACACGAGGAGTCTCTCTACAAAAAAATTCAGGGAACCAGAAGAAACGCTTTTGCAGAAAACCCCTAAGAATGGGTGATTG